TCCACTTCTATGTAGGGCTCTGTACCTCTATTCTTGTCCCCTGTCCAAAGTGGCCTTCCTTGACCCCCACCACTCTTCCAGGAACCCTCTAATCCCCTGACCTGCTTTTTTTTTTTTTTTGTCGTGCTCCTGGCTACCTGGCACTATGTGGAACGAATATTTTCCAGCCTGCCCTCATGGAAGCTCCACGAGGGTGGGGGCTTTGTCTGGCTTGTCCATCGCTGTATTCTGACCTAAAACAGTACCTGGCACACGGCAGAGGATGAGCAGATCTTCGATGAGTGAAAGAGATGAAAAGCCCTCCACACGTGCCGAGGGCAGGGACAGGCTGTGGAGCAGCTGGGACAGGGCCGGGCTGGAGGGGTGCCCGGCGCCTGCGGGTACAGGGGAAGGAGGGTGGGCATGGCAGCCAAGGAAGCTGACCCTGGGCTGACTCAGACGGATGAAGAGGTGGGAGCGAAGGAGTGCGTCTAGACAGAGACACTGATCCAGGTGGGAGAAGGCAGTGGAATCACGTCCCTGGCACTGGGGTGGGGAGGACTTCTTGAGAGGTGGAAATGGGGACAGTTGGTTGACGAAGGAGAAAGAGGCAACTAGGAGGCAGCGCTTGGCTTGGGCACCTGGGGGGGATGGTGGTCGAGGCCCCCCAGGAGCAGTAGGGACTCTGACTGGCGCTAGGGTAGACAATCTGAGCTGTTGAGCCAAACTTTACAAAAGGGAGCTTTTCAAGGCCCCCTGGTCTGGCCTGGGAAATAAGGTCAATCACCACAGACGCACTCTTGTGGGGAGCTGGACACTCATCTGGGCCCTGCAGAACTACTGGCTGGGGGAGGAGCAGTGACTCTAGGCTCCAGGCTTTGCCTCGGATCCCCCTGCCCCCGCCCCGTGCCGGGAATGACCTCCAGGCTTGGTGCGAGGTGCACACCTGGAGCACATTAACCACGGGACTGTCTAGGGTGGCACTGAGGACATCAGGCTCTTTAGCTTTCAGTTCTGACAGCTCAAGACAGCTCTGGTGATTCCTGGACACAGACGAGAGAACTGTGGCCCAGAGAGGGCAGGTGCAGTCCAAGGCTGCCGGGTGGCTGTGGTCCAGCCAGGGTGGGAGCCGGGGCTCTCCACGGCCATGGCAGTGTCTCCTGGCAGCTGTGACCTGCAGTTGTGAACAGCGGAGCCCTTCTTGCCTCTCTCCTGCCTATTTGGGAAGACACTCCCGTCCTTTGAATTGTCAGCCTGCAATTTTCAGACTCTGATTTCTGTGTGTTCGCTCTGATGGGTAGTGTGCTATCTCGAGACAGCAGCTGTTCTGGCTCTAGAAATAGCGCTGAGCTCACTGAAGGGCTGTCGCCCTTGGGAGGGGGAGGGGCTGCTTACTGAGAAAACCCCCAGGGAACCGTGGCTGTCAGAGTCAGGGCAAGGGAGTGCACTGAAGTGATTGAGAGCTCGGGCTCCACGCTCTCACAAGCCTGAGGTCTCTTTTCCAGTGCCACCGTTTACTAGCTGGGTGACCTTGGGCAAGTTATTATGCTTTACCTCTTTGCAGTTCAAGTCTCAGGTATAAAATGGGGAAGTAATGTCTGCCTCCTAAAGCTGTTGGGAGGATTAAACCACACAAATGTAAAGGGTCTGGTATCAGGCTGCCACGTAGTTACGCAGGGTGGGCGCTGCACAGAGATACTCAGGCAAGGCGTCAGGTGGGGCTAAAATCCAGCTTGTTCTGCCCTGGCCAGTCATGTGCCTGGCATGTGGCTTGATTTATCTGGGGGAAAAAGATTTATCTGCTTCTTCCTAAATTGCACAAAGGTGCCATATGGGCTAATGGTGTTCCTACCCAGTGTGGAATAAATAAAGCCCCCCGTGGTTCTCCAAGACTCTGTACCAGGCTTGACGGGGGCCCAGGGGCTTAAATTGCCGAGCTGGGGCAGCTTCCCTGCTCCTCCGAGGTTGGTGGAGGCCTAACAGGTGTGCTCTTGCATGACACAGAGACCTCCCTGGGCTGCTAGTCTCTGGAACATCATCAGCATCTGAGGACTGGGGGGAGGTGTTAGATGGAAAGTAACATGCATGGGCCTCATCTCGTACCAGCCACTTGGGACCCAGAGTGTTGTGGCCCCCAAGGAAGGCACATTGGCCCCGGAGAAGCTCTAGAGATGGGACCTGGCCAACATGGGAGGCTCTGAGGGACAGGTTCGTGGGGAAAGGCTGGTAGAGCCCGACTCTCTGTGGGCCAGACCCCGAGTGTGCTGAGACATGGCCTTCTCAGGCTGCAAAGCTGGAGCACAACGGGAGGAAGGGAACTCGTGTCTGGGACCCCCGTGATCACCTCTTTTAGGCCTTCTGCATTTGTCTTCTCCCTTATGGAGGCTGTCACTGCTGACCAGGCAGCCCTGACCCTGCAGCCCTGAGTGCACAGAGATGGGACAGGATGGACGCAGCCCGGTGCCAGCATTGGCAGCCACATGGTACCCGAGAGGAGCTGAGCTCCCGATATGACTGGCCAGGGCTGTGTATACCTGTGAGATGCTCCAGCATGTTGCCAGGGTCCCCTCCTCTTTGGAACAGGGAGAGATTGTCTTTCCAGAATTGAAAGAAGATACAGTGACAAACTCACCTTGAGAGGGTAATGGAGTTTAAGAAGGTTGGAGAAGGTGCTTCTCTCGGTCTTCTAGCAGGCTAATGAGAAGCTCGAGATGGTTGGAGAGAGGTCCATGACTTAAAAGAAAAGGGCATTTATTAGTAATTTCCAATAATAAAAGAATCATAACCCCATTACAGAAAACTTATAAAAATACACAAAAGTATTTTAAAAATCACTCATAATCCCACTCCTTTGAGATACCTTATGAATATTTTGTTATAATTCTTCCCTTTTCCCATGCATTCACATGTGTATATATAATTCTTTTTTGAGACTATGGCTTTTTGTAACTTGCATTTTTCATTCTACATTAGCATGTGAGCATCCTCCTGTGTCATTACATACAAAAAATTTGAGCATCATATTTGATGTCTGCATTCACACCAAACTGGGGTTTCCATGGCTTCCTGCAGAATGCAGTCTCTGAGTGTCCTGTCGGAAGTGGATGTAGGGTGGCCCAGTGTGGCTGTGCTTCTCAAAGCCTTCTTTCCTGTCTTCATCTGTTTGGGCTGCTATAACAAAATACCTTAGACTGGGTTTATAATTTGTAAACAGTAGAAAGTTATCACTCACAGTTTTGAAGTCTGAGAAGTCTAAGTTCAAGGCACCAGCAGATTTGGTGTCTGATGTGGGACCGATTCCTTGTAGATGGTACCTTCTTGCTGTGTCCTCACCTGGTAGAAGGATGAAAGGCTCTTTCAAGCTTCTTTTATAAGGGTCTAGCTCCATTCTTTTTTTGAGACAGGGTCTGGCTCTTTCGCCCAGGCTGGAGTGCAATGGCCTCATCATAGCTCACTGCAACCTCAAACTCTTTTGCTCAAGCTATCCTTCTGCCTCAAGCCTTCCTAGTAGCTGGGACTACAGGCACATGCCACCTTGCCTGGCTAATTTTTTCTATGTTTTGTAGAGACGGGGTCTTGCTCTTGCTCAGGCTGGTCTCAAACTCCTGGCCTCAAGTGATCCTCTTGCCTCAGCCTCCCAGAGTACTAGGATTACAGGTGTGAGACTGTACTCAGCTTCTATCTCCATTCTTGGGGGCAGATTTCTCATGAATTAATCACCTCCCAAAGCCCCTACCTCTTCATGTCATCACATTAGGGATTCAGTTTCAATATATAAATTTCGGGGGGACATACACATTTAGACCATGGCTCCTCAAGCCAATCATCTTTACAGACTGAGCTAGAGTGATGCAGCCCCCCAAAAGCAAAGCTCAGGTAGGATGGAGAAGGAAGCAGGGCTATTAACCACATTTTCTACATAAGAACACAAGCTTTAGAAACAGGCATGGGGCGGTTTTGGTGAGTTGGCTGAGCTACCACATGGAGTGTTTTCATGGTACTGGGGATTTGCTTTGATCGGTTATGGGAACACATGCAGATACAGAAGTGACTGTCACAAAGGAAGAGGTTTTCCTATTCACAGCTCCCTGGAAGCAGGAGGCAGAGCACACCATGGGCAAGCCGCAGGGTCAGGCAGAGGGAGCGGGGAAAAACGTGTGCAGGATCCTTTATTAGGGTTTCCATGGGAAGGAGCCAGTGAGGCAGGGTTTGCAGCTTGTGATTGGCTAGTTTGGATAATTTCAGTGGGCTCTGATGAGTAGGGGCTGTCCCCAGTTGCCTAGGACCTGGCCCTGGGGTGATTAGGGCAGGGGCTCTTCTGGTGGTCCAGACTGTGGCAGCCTGATAGAGCAGGTGGCTTGGGGCAGGGCCCTGGATCTGTTTGCATGTGAAAAGTACCCTCACAGGCTAGTCCTTGGCTCTCTCCAGAACTGGCCATGCCTGGGAGGGGCAGTACCTCCAGGGTCGGAAAGCGCCCAGGGGTCAAATCATCCGACACACATGGTTAACGCATAGAGCCTGCAGCAGAGATGGGGTGATCAAGGACATGCCCACGTCCAAGCAGAACTTAGTGTGGGCTTCATCCGCAGAGTGGCCGGGGAGAGGTTTACTAATCCCAGCAGAAGGAGGATGTCACCAGTGCAGATGGTGGAGACACTTCCTGAGTTGTTCATCTCTGACTCAGCCCTGCCGTCAACCAGCTGAGGGACTATAAGCAAGTCTCTGCCTCCCTGCCGCATCCGCTGGCAGCATGTGCCTTTTAGTGGCAGGAGAAAGAGGACAGAAGGGAATGAGCATGTCTTGGGCACTTCCTGTGTTGCCAGTGCTTTCCCTGAAATGCTCAGCGATGTCTTTTCTCAACCCTGTCACATGCATGGCATTGTTTTTGCTGATTTTACAGACAAGCAAGCTAAGACTCAGAGAAGTGACAGGCCTAAAGTAGCTGTCTGAGTCTGTTCAGGCTGCTATAACAGAATGCCATAAGCCAGGTGGCTTTTAAACAGAAATTTTATTTCCCACAGTTCTGGAGGCCCAGAAGTCCAAGATCAAGGCCATTTAAGTTTCAGTTGAGGACCCGCTTCCTGGTTTATAGATATCAGCTTCTTCCTATATCTTTACATGGCGTAAGTGGCGAGGGGTCTCTCTCGGGCGTCTTTTATAAGGGCACTGATCCCATTCATGAGGGCTCTGTCCCCATCACCTCCCAAAGGCCCCACTTCCCATATGATCACCTTAGGGGTTAGGATTTCAACATATGAATTTTGGGGGCACACAAGCATTCAGACCATAGCAATGGCTAGTGAGGGCAAAGGGGTGTGACCGAGGTTCTGAAAGCCTCTCCTCCCAAAAGCCACACGCACACAGCACAAGACCACTGGAATTATTACACTGCCTAGCTCAGTACATGAGTGATGTTGGGGACTCGGGAAGGGGGACCAAGGAGGAGGAGAGGCAGAGGCGGCTTTGTGGAGAGAATGGAAGGGTTGGCTGATCAAAGGGAAGATGCTGTCCCAGTTCAAACAGATTGTTTTAAGGAGGAGAAAAATGAGACCCAGAGAGGAGAAGTGATTTACCCAAGGTCACACAGCTGGTTTGTAGCTGTATCCGAGATGTCTCTGCAAGTATCCACCTCCCTGAGGACTCTAGGATAAGTCTCTTCCTAGTAATCATCTGTGTCACTTGAATCCGGAGCTTTTCTTAGCAGCAGCCTGGGGTCATGGCTTCACCTGACCCAGTGGATTCCAGAGGGTTTAGTGACACCTGCTCCGGTTGCAAATGATGATCTTTGTGATAAGACACTGGACCTCACTTACAGCTGTGTGACTGGAACACTACCTGAGCTAGAGCCAAGGTCATGCACTTATCTTGTGGCCCTAGGCTGACCCCTTGTTCTTAGCTGGAGATAACAGAATCCATGTTAGCTAGTTAAAGCAGAAAGGGATTTGTGAAGGGCACGGCCAGCTGCTTTGGGAAAGCTGAAGCAATGGCTGGGCCTCCGGGAGCGCCTCCCCAAACCGCAGTGAAGTGGTACCACCGTGAAAGCTGCTGCCTCTGATACAATCGTGAAGGTGCTGCCACTCCTGCAGTTTCCGAGGGCCATGCCACCTCTGCCACATTCTGCACCGGCAAAACCGTGCCTCGAGCCTTGCCATTCTTCTCCTGTAACAGCTCTGACAGTCTCGTGCAAATGCTTTCGATCAACTGAACCTAACTGTTCTAACCCAGCTAGAACCCTCGCTGCAAAGGAGTCTGGAACTGTCATTTTTAGTTTTTCTGTCCCTGTAGTATGGAAAATATAAGGATAATAAAGACATAGTCCCTGGGTTTGAGATGCTCACGGTTTGGAAGGGGACACAGGCAATATGAACAGACCATTATAATACAATGTCATTGACTCTAATTAAGAGGCAGTGTGCAGAGGGTGCCCAGGGTAGGGGTCAGAGAAGCGTGGGTACTTGAGCTGGGTGGAAAGATCAATTTGAGTTTGCAGATGAGAAAGACAGAGAAAGGAACCCCAAAACACAAGGGAAACAGAAAAGGGTGACTTTGATATTTTGGGAATATTCCATACCTCGTTCTTATTAACTCTGCCTAAATTCTTAGGCAGCCAGGTGGGGCTGGTTTGCATTATTTTTGATGGGAACAGACACCCACCCCCGAGTAAGAGCCTCTGCAGGCCTCCAGACCTGGCCTGCTTGTCTGTGTAACCTCTGTCCCTGTTGGTTCCAGGTACTTTGACTTTTACGAGGGGCCTTTTGAATACAACTCCACAAGATGCCTGGAGCTGAGGCACGAGATCCTGGAAGTGAAGGTGCTGTCCATGTGAGTGTGGCGGGCTGGGGGGTGGGGGGGGCGGGGCAGAAAGAAACAGAAAACTCGCAGTAGATCCCCGTAGAGCAGAAAGTAGGTCTCCTTGCCCGGGCCACTGGCATTTGGAAAGCCCTGGAGGCCTGGAGCACAGTGATGATTGTGCCTGTTTCATGACAGAAGGCCAAATTTGCAAGGTCACCGCCGATGACTCAGGTGTTAAAGTCCCCGGCTCAATTACCAGTCTTCTTGATTATCATCGCCGGCTCGTCTTGTGTAGAAATCGAAGCGGGCACGAGAATGTCTTACCTGAAAGGCAGTACTTTGCACCGTAGGCTTAAAGTACTCAGTGAACAGGGAGATTCAGAAGCAGATTTGGTTTCAAGTTCTGCAAAGGAGAGGGGAGGAGGGGGAGGAGGGATGCTTTGTGCTCTGTGATCAGAAAAAGTGAGAGTACTTGCTATCACCTTTTAAAATTTTAATTTCATTAAAAGTTTGATTTTTTTTATTATTTAAATGATGCAAAATTCAAGGGGTCCAGATGGTTATTCGGTGAAGAGTCCCCTGGCACAGTTCTGCTCCCCAGAGGCAGCCATGCGTGCTGCGCCTCCTTCCAGAGAGTCTGTGCAGGAACAAGCATCTGCGTATGGAGCTTCTTTAATTTTATTTATTTTTTTGCACAAATGTTAAAAGAGCTCCTCCTCCCCACTCAACAACATGTCACCCGTGGCTCTGTTACAACCTGCAGGAGGAAAAGCACGTTAGATGCCGAGCATTTTAGTGGGCACGTGCCCACCCGGGTTTTCTGTCCCTCATAGAACTGCCATGAATTCAGCAAACCCATTTAGAGGAATTTATACTATGTTAGTCATGACACGATCTATATTTATTTGGAAACAGTTATATCTGGAGGTGGAAAAAATATAGTTTGTTCAGAGGCAGGCACTGTTGGGTGCTCATAGGGGCTCACAGGCCCCTGACATAACCCCGGGGACCTCGGCCCCTGCTCCTTTGACCTTCTGACATGGTTCTAGCCTGGTCCCTGGGAAGGGCGTGGGCCTTGGGGTGGGCAGACATGAGATCCAAAGCTGCCTCGGCCTTGCCAGCTCTGAATCTTTATGTAAATTACTGAACCTCTCTGAGCCTTTCTTTACCTATAAAAATGGGGACACGATTGCCTACCTTTTAAGAGATGCTGTAAGATGATCTGAAATAACACATGTGGAAGTAGATGGCCCAGCAGTCTGCATGCGTAGTAGTGCACGTAATAGGTGCTCAGTAAATGTCAGGGCCTGTCTCTCCTTTTCCTTCCCACCTCTTTCTTTCTTTTTTGGAACAAGCAGCAGCTTTTCTGGGCTGTCATGCACAGACTCCGTAGCTTAGCAGCTGCTGGAAAGCTCCAAGGATGAGACCAACGTGCTTTAGCTGCGTAGTTTATGACCCCTGCACCCAGCAATGGTCTCTGCAGCCTCCCTAGAGAGGAACACGTGAGGCAGCTCACCCCCCATCGGCTCCTCCCAGCCCTGGTCCAGCATAGGCCACCATGTGCCTGCCCCCATGGAGCGCTCCTGGAGCTCACAGACTGTGGTGGGGGAGCAGGCGTTAGTAACCAGTTACCCCGAGGAGCCAAGGCAGTGATGGGGAGCTGCGGTGGGCAGGGGGTGGGCAGGCAAGGCTTCCCTGAGGAAGGGAAGCTGGAGCTCCAGTCTGAAGGGTGACAGGAGTTAACTAGGCCAGGAGGACTCCAGGTGGAGGGAACAGCGTGTACCGAGGCGCTGTGCCAGGCGGGAGCCCGCTGCGTCCCAGCCCTGCAGGGTCAGGGCAGCTTGCGAGCTGGCGTGATGCGGAAGGAGATGCGGAAGCTGCAAGCTGCGTTGCCAGAGGGTCAGGCAGGGCCAGACGGTGCGGGGCCTCGTGGTGCAGACCCCAGCTTGGTTTTGTCTTTATCCTAGGGGCAAGGGGAGCCATGGGAGCAGTTTTAAGCAGGGTCTGGGGCATCTGAGCTGATTGGTGGTTTGAAATGCTCCACTGAGGAGTTGTGATTGAGTGGCTAGGGTGGCCGTCAGGAGCCAAATTCACAAGCTCCTAGCAGAGATCCTGGATCTTTTCTCTGAATCCAAAGATTTCAGGCCCTTACATGTTTGTGCAAATCCAGAGCCCTCTGATTGAAGTGAAGTGATCCTCCTGCCTCAGCCTCCCACAGTGCTGGGATTATAGGCATGAGCCACAACATCCGGCAAATTTTTAAAAATTAAAAAATAGACACAGTCTCTTCGTGGTTATTTCAAAGTCTGGACAAGAAGATCTGAGAAACCCTGTGACTGATCATCCTCCCATGTCACTTCTCATCCCTCTACCCATGTATTTTCTATATGTCAGATTTAGTCGCTGTTTCAGTTTGCTGAGGCTGCCGGAACAAGGTGCCACAGAGCGGGTGGATTAGACAACAGAACCTCATTTTTCCACGGTTCTGAAGGCTACAACTCTGAGATCAAGGCGTGGGCAAGGCTGGCTTCTTTTGAGTCCTCTGTCCTTGGCTTGCAGATGGTCGCTTTTGCTGTGTCCTCACGTGGCTGCCCCTCATTCTGTGTCTGGTCTGTGTCCTTATAAGGAGACCAGTCAGATGGGATTAGGGCCCACCCTAAGGACCTAATTTTAATGCCATCTCCAAATAGACACATTCTGCGGTACTAGGGGTTAGGCCCTCAACATACGAATACTGGGGGGACACAAGCCAGCCCATGACAGTCCCAATCGCAGCTTCCTCTTAGGGCCAGATTGGACGTTCCCTGGGCCTGTTGCAGTGAGCTGTGATGGACAGCCTCCTATTTCCCCATACTCTATGCCCACCCCTTGTCCCTTGTCATGGACTGCTGCTGGGGGTGTCGAGCCTCTCCACGTTTGGATTTGGTTGCCATCTCTGCTGTGGGCACCTGCTCTGTGCCCGGGGGCTGGGCTCCTGCGCTGAGCAGCCGTCCTGCAGGGCCTTGCATCCCCATCTCTTCCGGTTGTCCTGTTGTCCACGCTGTGGTCCCCAAGCACTGGGGAGCCGAGGGGAGAGGAGAGGCCGCGCTGCTAATGGGGCATGAGCATGTGAGCCTGGGGACATCAGGGACAGCAAGTGGGGACAGCAAGCTCTGTGCTCCTTTCCTGAGGACACGCTGAGGGTCAGTGTGTCCTCCAGGACTGAAATCAGAGAGCCCCAGAGGCCGGCGCTGATCTGAGTGGTTCTGACACCATCTGGGGACCCGGGGGCTTCACTGTGCTCCAGCCCAGCGTCATGAGCAGGACTTGTGGTGGGTGCGACCCAGAGTCCCTGGAAAATGTTAAACCCCCGTCTATGAATGGGGGGCTGGACGAAAGAACGTCCGTCCCTCCAGGCACACAGATGTCAGCTGGTGTTCTGTCTGAGCAGACAGGGGTGCGTGTGATTCATCTGGGAACAACTGTGATCCAAAAATGCTGAAATCAATGGTAAAGACCAGTCAGCTGGAAAATTCCCACATGGAAAATGCCTCTCTCCCTGACAATGTCAGATACGTGAGGAATTACTCCGTGATGTTTTGCCGTGAAAACGCATTGTCACTAATTCTTGTTGAAAGTATTGACACTTGCTTTTAGTCATTCTTGAGCATCTTTATTTTTAAATAGGAAGCTTCGGTTTCTGCCTGTGCTCACACCCACTTGGGGGTCGTGGCTGAGGACCCCCACCAGCCTCTCCCGCTGCCCCTTCCCCATCTTTCTGGGGCTGGGACCCAGGACTGAGAGCCAGGGAGGGGGGAGTGGGAGCTGGGGCCAGTTGGGCAGACACCACTGCCCGGGTTGGGAGGCCCCTTTGTGCCACGACAGTGTTCATGGTCCTGTGTCCTTTGCCAGTCAGGGGCTCCTTAAGGGCCGGGCCCCAGGCTCAGGTGTCTCTGAGTCTGACTCTGTGCGGGCTCAGGACACACTTGGTGAATGAATGAGTGGAAGGAGGGAGTGGGTGAGACCTGGTGCAAACAAGAGACTGTGGAGGAAAAGCGGGAAAAAAGAAGGGTAATGAGATGATTGCTGTTCTCATCTCATTGCGAAAAATTAATTAGATCACAAAAGTTTGTAATAATAAAAAGCGACAGTCTCCACTGCACCACCCCACCCAAGCCCAGCCCAGCCCAACTCCTGTCGATTTTCTGCTGCTCCTTCTGGTAATTACATCCATGATATGAACCTGCTCACCTGCGGCTGGTTCCTGACTTACATGTTACCCGGGTTCATGGATGTCCTGCCTGGGTGGGCGAGGACCCCTCCATTCCACGGTGCCCAGCCCCCTCCCCACGTTTCCCCAGCTCAGGGATATTGCTGTTTTTAGTTCTTCTATCTGCAGATGACCTGAATAATCTATCCCTTGTTCTACCAAATATAGACAGTATCTCTTGACCCCGCACCATGTAAGATGAGGCTGTTAAAATTACCCCCTCCAGCCTGTAGCTTCAGTCATCCAGGAGTTTACTTTTAAAATGTCAAGGCTGATAACATTTACATTCTATCTGTAACCATGGCAAACCTGTCTTGGGGCTTTCTCTAGAGGATGACTCTCAAATTTGAAGATCAGCAAATAGTGTTTTCCATTCCTGGGGCAGTGTGGGCATTGTTCACTGAAGGCCAGGGAGGCACCAGGGCTGCAGCTCCTTTCTTGTGCCTTTCCTTCCCCCTTCTTTCTGGAGCTTCTGGCCATCTTTGCCCCTTTGTATTCTTCCTGTCTATCCTGCCCCATTTTTTCCTGCCTCTCTGTCAATCATGCATTCCCTTTAGGGCTTCTCTTCATGCTCCCGCTGCAGCCTGGCAGCTCCCTTGGTGGGTCACGTGACTGTTTTCCCGGCCGTCCATTCTCTGCCTCCTTAGGTTGGATTTACCTTTGTTGAGAGCCCATAACTTCTTTCTTGGGATCTTTCTTATGCCTTCCTTTCATGTCCACTCATTCTCAAATAAATTCCCAAGAAGTGGTGGCTGAGAGGTGAGGTTCTGAGTCCTGTGTCTCCGTGACTGGATTCTTCCCTGTGACTTCATTGTTGGCCTGGGGAGGTTGTCAGGTTGTTGGCTTGGTGGGTTGGTATTTTAGGTGGAAACCATTTCCATTAGGATGTTTAAGACCTTCTCCACCACCTTCTAGCGTTCAGGGCTACATGAAAAGTAGCAGAATGGTTATTCCTTTGGAGGTACCCGTTTTTCTTTTCCTCTGGGATCTTCAGATTGGCAGTTCCGAGATGTCCCAGTGGTGAGCCTCAGGACAGACTCGTCCAGTGGAGCCTCTTCATCTGGGCTAGTCCAGACTCTCGGACTTTCTCTTGGATCTCTTTACATTTCCTCCTTTCCAATTTTCTCTCCTTCCTCTTTCTAGTACATCTGAAAGTCATATACTGGATCTTCCAGACTGTACCTCTAACACTCATGCTTTTCAATCTTATCTTTTCTCTCTCTTTGCTCTTTGATTCTACATTCTAGGAAAATCCCTTGACTTCATCTTCTAGCTCTTCTGATAAAACCCGTCCTTGCAAGAGCTCTGTCTTTGTCCTCAGAGAAGTCTAGTCTTGTTTTTAAGGATGTGATGTCTTCTTGAATATTTCTGGGGATATTAAGTAGGATATGTTTTAGTTCTCTTTTGTTCTTTCAATAGTTTTTTTTTTTTTTTTGGTAATCACTCTGTCTGATGGTTTATCTTGGTCTGTTACCTTCAGGCTGACCAGGAGATCCTCAGCTATCTATTCACATTTAAACTTTAAACAGTTAAAAACCGGTAAGAGCTCTGTGTCTGAAGTTTTTCAAAATGCTGCTGGCCTTTTTGCTGCTAGCTTGGCCAGATCTTTTGACTGGGAATGATATATTTTTCAGAGAAGAACTGACAGTCTGATTCCATCCTCCTCCTCCTCTGCTGGACATGCAATATTTGGCTGCCATGGGGGTGGGTGGAGTGTGGGCTTGATGGTTCTGCCTATGGACTGACAACTGACTCTCATTCTCGGAGCGCACTCCTCCCACCCTCCACCCACCTCTTAGAATTTTCTACCCAGATCGGCTCTAGGTTCTCTGGGCTGTGCCATCCTGTCCTTGTGTCACCCCTTCCTCCTTTTATACACTTGTTGACATCTCTCTTCCATGGAGGCACCCTCCTGCCCCTGTCCTTCTGTTTATCTGGTAGGATTACACCTTTTTTATTCCTCTTCTGAAATGTTATGTGTGCCTGGGGAGAGAAGTGCCTGGGGAGAGAAGTGCCTGGGGTCAAACCTTCATCTGTAAGGGTTCTCTGCATGTGTAAAGCAATTTGTAAAATATTTGTGCACACATGATTCCATTTGATCTCTCTGACAACCTCTGAGGCCGGCAGGGCAGTGGCTGCTATATCCATCTTACAGGTAAAGCAGCTGAGTCTCGGAGAGATTGGATGACTTGCTCGAGGTCACACTGCAGGTTGGGGATGGAGCCAGGAGTCCAGGCTGGGTGTCCAGGCCCCGACTTTGGTCCAGGATTTGGCGAGGGCACTGAAGGCGCAGAGAATAGGGCCCAGACACTGGTAGCAGTCGAGCTTGGGCCCCTTCCTGGGGTGTTGCCAGAGCTGTGTTTCCAGGAGGCATTTGAGGCTGTGGCCAAGTAGGGAGCTCCTTCTGGGGCCAGTGGCTTGCAGCAAGCGGGGAGAGGATGGGGGGCAGAGGGTGAGCCAGGATTGCGCTGTGTGATGGCACCTCTCCCCAGTACCCTCCGAGCTCCTGAGAGGGGAAGTTCGGGACAGCTGGAAGGAGGTCTTGCCTTCTATCAGGATGAGAGGAGGGCTCCTTCCAGCTCTGTAAAGCTGCCAAGCAGGTTCCTGCCCCAGGGGCTTTGCACTCACTCTTCTCTCTGCTTGCAATATGCTTTCCCCAGATATTCGCATGGCTCATTCCTGCACCATTTCAGGTCTCTGCGCAAGGTTCCTCTCCTCAGGAAGTCCTTCCCTGATCACAATTCCCCAGTCACGCCCCCACCACTTTACCTTCATTTTCCTTCATAGCACTTACCACTTCCTGACAAGGCGGTACATGTTTGTTTCCCATTTGTCTCCCCCGCTGGGATGTCAGCTCCGTATAAGCATGAGGTTATTTTGTTCACTACTATTAATACATTCCCAGTTCCTGCCATATGGAGGCATTCACAAATAGAGACTTGATTTGAACTTGGATGTATCAATTCATTCATTAGTTTATTGTTTAAAAACAGATATTTACCATGCATCTCCTATGTGCCTGAGCCCTGGACTTACCATGGTGAACTCAGGCATGATCCCCTGCTCCCATGTATGTACTGCCTAGTAGGAAAGATGAGGAGTGACAACGGGTTGTGGTTTTTACAAAAGTAGAAAGCACAGAGGGCTACGCCTGTTTAACAATAATAATAACATATACCTATTGGACACTTTCTCTGTGTCTAGTCTTTTATTGCATCATCTTATTTAATAATGTTAACAAGTCTGGGAGGGCAAGAGGCTATGACTATGCCTACTTTATAGATGAGAAAACTGAGGCTCAGAGAGGTTAAATAACCTGCCTGAGGTCCCATATAGTCAGGAGGTGTCTAAATTGGGTCTTAGACCTAAGTCCCTCTGGTTCCAAAGTCCATGTACTTACTATCCCATATAGTGTTTCCTGCACTCGCCATTCCCCGACCAGCTGTGTATTCTTTCTGTAGGCAAGGCCTGCTCTGTCTGGGGACAGCTGTTACTACCTCCAGTTAAACATGGGGTACACCTCTGCAGAATGAACCTATCACAGCAGGACAGGTGGTTGAGGGTGTGGACTCCGGGCAGGTTGGTTCGTGCGTTAAAGGCACGCTTGCAGGAGAGGGGTTCGAATCTCCAGGAATCAGAAAGGCTCCACGTGCCAGAGCATCAAGAATACAGAAAATACGAAAATATAGTTAACGCCAAGGGCCAGCCCAGGACTTGGCCACGGGAGAGCTGGAAGGGAGCGTTTCTGGGAATGATCATGCTTTGTCCTGCCTGGCCCCTTGATGTACTCTTCTGTCCCCCCTCCAAGGGTGAAGCAGTCGGAGCTGTTCGACAGGTGGAGGAGCCTCCAGATGTGCAAATGGGCGATGAACATCTCCGAGGCCAACCAGTTCAAGTATCTATGACTCGCCTTCCCCCTTCTCCTCGAGTGGCTCTCCTCACGGCCACCTCCTCTGGCCTCCGTCATCCTGCAAGGCCCAGCTCTCGGCGGGCATGTTCCCCAGAGCGGGCCTGGATCGGGCTCGGGAATCCGGGCGGTGGGAGGATCAGGCTGAGCGGGCACCTTGCCAGGCGCCGTCCTCCGTGTCCTCTCACTCGGTGCTTGTGGCAGCCCTGCGAGGCCGGTGGTGTCACCTACCGGACACAGCTGAGGTTAACTGTGGCCACTGGCAGGGCAGGCCCCTGTGAGGGCACAGGACATGTCCTCGGTGGCCTCATCGTCCTCACCTCCCCTGTCCTGCGGCAGCTGCTCTCCCCCAGCATTAGGCTTCTGCCAGCTGACCCCAGACGTGTGAGCCCTGCTGTAGATTATTTTGGAACTGCTCTCTAACTAACCAAAATTAACAGATTATAAACTCCCAGACAGGCCAGAGCTCTAGCTTAAACTTCTCCTGTGGGAGCTAACAAAACAGGCAGCAGGTGTCCAAAAATTCTTTCTTTTTTTTGTAGACAGAATCTCACTCTGTCATCATGGGTAGAGTACAGTGACGTCCTTGTAGCTCACTGCAGCCTTAAACTCCTGGGCTCAGGCGATCCTCCTGCCTCAGCCTCCCAAGTAGCTGGGACTACAGGTGCACACTGTGACACCCAGCTAATTATTTTTTTAAATTTTAGTAGAGATGGGCTCTCGCTCTTGCTCAGGCTGCTCTTGAACTCCTGAGCTCAAGCAATCCTCCTGCCTTGGCCTCCCAGAGTACTAGAATTACAAGTGTGAGCCACCAGCACACCCAGCCAAAAATTTGCACTACATGGGAGGTTGTGAAAAGCAAATATTACTGAGCATTTTGTATTTCCTTTATAAATCGTTTGTTCCAGTTTGCTTCAGTTCTAGGCCAAGTCTAGAGGTAGAATAGTAGTTTTAATAGGCACGTTTTTAGAAATGTGAAGTCCCTGAAAGAGATAAAAGCATAAAAAAATAATTCATATAGCTTCCCTGGTGTTGGCAAGCTGGAGTCACAGAGTTACAGGGGGTTGGAGGTGGAAGAGCCAGCCTTACATTTTACATATAAGGAAACAGGCTGAGATGGAGAGACCTTCCCGAGCTCCATAGCTGGTGGGGGCAGAGAAGAAACTAGAATCCAGGCCTCTTGACACCAGGTTGGCAACCCAGGTTTCCATCCCAGACCTTGGTGGGGCTTTTCAGAAAGTTCCTCTTCATCCTTTGTTAGTGGTCTTGCATGGGCTCCAAGGAGAAGGTGTTCCATTCCTCTTAGGCAGGTGTCCTCAAACTACAGCCTGTGGACCACATGCGGGTGTTTTTGCCCATTTGTTTTTTTACTTCAAAATAAGATATGTGCAGTGTGCATAGGAATTTGTTCATAGTTTTTTTATGAACTATAGTCCGGCCCTCCAACGGTCTGAGGGACAGTGAACTGGCCCCCTGTTTAAAAAGTTTGAGGACCCCTGCTCTTAGGGCTGGCTGGATGCTGGACATGACGGCGCCTGGAGCCCGTGTCGAGGGAAGGGGACCAGTGTGTGCTCGGGCCGCTGCTGCTATATTTGGAGGAAGTGGATCCTTATGGGCTCAAAGCTCCTGACATGAAGGGGGCAGGGACCTGTGCCCTTTGTTGGGTCCTGAATCCTCTGTGGCCGGGGCAGAGGGCTGTGGGTTGCCAAGGCAGGGGGAACAAGGTGTGCCCAGGATCTGACCCTATCACGAGCCTCGCGGGCCCTCCTCGGGGAGCTTGCTGCCGGGGTGGAACACCAGCTGCAGGGAGGAGGAGAGCCCAGGCTGCTCTGGCCGGGCCGACTCCCCAGCCTGCCACGTCAGCCCCATCTCCCTCGCAGGTTGTTTTTGTTTAAAGCCTGCATCTGAGGTTTAACCCGTCTGTAGCTCATGTTTGAATATTTTTGTGTTGAAACCTGGTGGGATATATATATATATACTTTTTTTTTTTTAAATAATGAACTCCAGAAAACTTCTTTTGGAAATCAGGTTCTACTTTCTATAGGAAACGAGCCAGTATCAACCTATTATCCCAATTTCCAAGCCTCCCCGTTCCTAAATCAGTTTCTAAATGATTGAAATTACCCATTTCTATTGACCATGTGTGTCTTGGCTTTGTGGCCCCACCAGACAAGGCACCCTGTCTAGAGTCTGACGTGGGGCCCGGAACCAAAGGCAGAGCTCTGCCCCCCGGGTGTTCATTTGGGGCTGGATAAACGAAGCAGCAACAGTGCGTTTCCAGGAAGTAGTAGAATGCTTGTAGATCTTGGTGAAAGCTTGAATGGGGAATGGCAAGTCCTACAACTGGCAGGCACCTAGCTGTCAGACAGTCATGTGACTAACATTGTGCGGGCTTCGGCAAGGCAGGTCCCTGCCATCCAGGGCTGTCATCCACACATGAGAAGGAGTCCCGGCCTTCAGAGGCGAGTGTGGTCAGTGGGGACGGGGGCAGCTGGGGGGTTCATGGAGAGACACCTGGCCTGACCCTGAGGGGCAGTGTAAGGAGAGGCAGAAAGGCCCCGGCTTGGGGAGGGGAGGAGCAGGGGGAGGGGACAGTGGAGGACAGGTGCAGGGGGAGGGGACAGTGGAGGACAGGTGCAGGGGGAGGGGACAGTGGAGCACAGGTGCGGGGGGAGGGATGAGCTTGGGGAGGGGCGGGCAAGGCCACAGCTCCCCGGCCCCTCTGTTCTTCGTGAGGCCTTGCTCTGCCCTGCGTCACGGTCCCTCCGTTTGTCCCCCTGCCCGGCAGGTCCACTCTGTCCAGGTGCTGCAACGCCCCCTCCTTTCTCTTCACCACCCAGAAGAACACTCCCCTGGGGACGAAGCTCAAGTACGAGGTGGACACGAGCGGCATCTACCACATCAACCAGGAGATCTTCCGCATGTTCCCCAAGGTGCCGCTTTGGGAGGGTGGTCTGGGTGCACGACCTACCCTCTGCCCCGCACCCAGTGTTCTTGGTCCTGGTTGGCCCGGTAGACCACCCTATAGATTGCCTTGGGGCTTCTGTCTGGGCCTGATGAATGCCAACTGCCCATTATTTGAGTGACTTTTGGCAAGAAAAGTGTTATAAAATTCTGGATACTTGCACTGGCTGCAGAGGACAACTGCAAGTACCTGGGAGAATGACTAAGCATTCGTCCCCACTTGAGGTAGAGACAAGAGCAAAAACATGCACGCAAAGGTTGCGTGCACAAGAAAACAAACCCGATACAAATCAAGGCACTGAAAGAATTGGATCATATGCATGACCTTGGGCAGTTGTTTTGTCTTTCAAAGCCTCAGTTACCTTGTCTGTAACATTGGGGTTTGGATGACGAATAGGTTTGGCTGCTTCTAACAGAATATCTAAAATATCAGAGACTTAAACAAGGTAGGCATTTATTTTTTCCTTTTGCATAAAAGAATTCTGGGGGTAGGCTGTTCAGGGCTGGCATGGTGGCTGCCTGGCCATTGGGGACCACAAAATGAATGATCCACACAAGATGTAAACTGTTCGGATCACTGATGCTTGGCGCCTGTGCTCACCTGGGCTGACTACTCTCAGAGAAGTGGCCCTGCCCCTGCATGTACAGCTGAGTCTGACAGTTACCCAGGTGTGGTGGTGGCACTTCTGAAGAGGAGGCAGGTTGCATGAGGCCTGTTCATGACCATGGCCTGGAGAACTCCGGGCTAGGGTAGCACTTAGTGGGTCCAATTTGTAGAGATACTGAGTGGGGGCATGTGCATGTTTTTCTGGAAGAAATCTGAGGGCATGGGCTACCCTGCTTCTCAGAGGAATGCTAATGAAATACAGCCCAGAATTTCCCTGCATTCTGTCCTGGTACCAGAATGCACCGGTAAGACTCGGGCATTCTGGGGGCAAGGGGTGGAGCTGGAGATGAGAGGTGTCAGACGTGTTCTCCTCCCTCACAGTGCTAGAGGAGGGTGGCATTGAGCCACCTTTGCAAGCTGGGTCTTGCAAGGCCTGGAACCTGAGGCTGGCGACAGTAGGTAAACTTGTGCCTCACGCAGGTAACTCGAGTGGGTGCAGCAGAGCCTGGTATGACATATGGGAGAGCCAGGGGTATGGACTGCCAAGGCGCAGAGACATAGAGCAGAGGTCACCAAACATTCTCTGGAAAGGGCCAGATTATAACTGAGGCTTTGCAGGTCAGATTCTCTCTGTCACTACTGCTCACCTCTGTCATTCCAGCACAAAAGTAGCCACAGGCTGACACGAGGAAACAAATGAGTGGCTGTGTTACAGTAACACTTCAGGTGTTATTAGCCACTGAAATCGGAATTTTATATAATGTTCACATGTTGCAAAATATTCTTCTTTGGGTTGTTTCCAATCATTTAAAAATATAAAATCCATCCTTAGCTCGTAGGCCATGCAAAAACAGGTGGTCGGCTGCAGTTTGCTGGTTCCTGAATGAGGACACGTGACACAGAATAGCATTCCTCAAACTTCCCTAAAATAAGTATTTTGTTGGGTTTATAAAAAATTCAGATCTCAGCCGTGGAGATTCTGATGTCGTGATGCTAAGATGGAGGCCAGAGTTTATATTTTCAGCAAGTAGCCCAGGTAGTTCTTGATTTATAAGTTTGGGAAACACCCACATAGAACATAAGAAGCCTTTGGTGATTTTTCCAAAGATGACTTTATTTTCCTCTCTCTGGTAGAAGACAAACAGTGCGGTTTCCCCCACTGGCTGGGAGACACCTGCGTTTTCCCTGTCCTGGGCCTGTCCCTGCAGGGAAAGTGGGCCATGAACAGGACAGTTCCTTTAGCTTTAGCCTAATTCCTGATGGTCCCGGAGCAGTGTGGTTCTCCGGGACACCCGGTCTGGGGCAGGCCCCTTTCATGCAGGGCTGGCCAATGGTGTGTTCTAGAAGGAAAGCCTCCCAGCAGGCCCCTGGGTGCCAAAGATGGGAGGGATCTTAGGGGCCTTCTAATAGTAACAAGTCTCCTGACCGCTCTTCTCCTCTCTAAAGTGGAAAACCACTATCCTCCCACATTCCCATGGGGCTGTGGCCCGAGGCCATGAGCTGGTAGAGGCAGATGTGGCTGCAGAGAGCCAGCTGACGGCAGGGGTGGCCTTGGCCCTGACAGCTGTGCCTGTGCCTCCCCCAGGACATGCCCTACTACCGGTCGCAGTTTAAGAAGTGTGCGGTGGTGGGCAACGGAGGCATCCTAAAGAACAGCCGCTGCGGCAGGGAGATCAACAGCGCCGACTTTGTCTTCCGGTAAGGAGTCGCCCTTGGTCTGCACCTGCTGCGTGAACCCCCAGCCCTCCTCCTCTGTGCTCCTCCCCTGTGTGTGGCCCCACCTCCCAGTGCCCTAATGCCACCCTTCAGGCCATTAACCCTGACACGAGGAAACAAATGAGTGGCTGTATTCCAGCCACTCATTTGTCATGATATTTAAGTAAATTTTATTTTATTTTTACTAGTAGAAATTGAATGTATCTTTTTTGTTATTTTCATACAAAATTAATCTTTTGTGTAACCAGTTCTTTTTTTAACCACTCACATTTCTTAGGAGACTTCAGCTTTATAAAGAATATCATATAGCAATCTAGGTACAACATGAATTATTTGGCTTTTTAAAATAGTGGTTATTGGCAAACCTGCAGACCCTCATGCCCTGGGGTACCCCTTCCTCTCTCTAGCCCCAGCCCTTTGGTGAAGTCATTGAACTCGCAGGTCCTCAGTTTCCACATCTGCACAATGGGAAGCGTGTAAAGAGCAAAGGGCATAACCAGTGTGAAGGCACTGAGGACTCAGGGGCTGCAGATGTGTCACCGAGGTCCTCTGGGCGGCTGTCTCCCTGGGTGGGTGCCACCCTTCCAGAGGCGCTGGTTGGAACCAAGGCAGTCTTGCTGTGGACACCAATATTGGCTTCAGCTTGGCTTTAACTAAGGCAGAGACTGGTCCTTGTGTTTCTTCTTGCTTATGTGGAGCCCCCGCCCCCTTATCTCTCTGGGGATCCTCACTCACACCTTTAGCCTGGGTACAGGGGACACATTGAAAATAAGAGCTTAACGCAGAGAAACTCAGGTTGAGTCTACAGGAGTGTCTCATGGGTCAGGGATGCACAATCACTGGGCCACTCAAAGTTGGTGGCAGGGAGGGTAGAATAGGTTCCGTGTGACTGGAGTCCCAAAATAAAGGTGGCTCCTGCATATTTTGGGTTCCTGGCTATGTAACCAGTCTTTCGTCTCTAGGAGAAGGGAGCCCCTGAACACCCTGCTCCAGGCTTGGAAGTAGTGTCACCTGCTGTCAGGGGTCACCTCCCTCTGCTGCCGAGAGTCAGCCTGGATTGTCCCTGTGGACAGCCAGTTGAGCCCAGGATCAGGGGTTAAGATTCCTCCCACACCACAGCCATTGGCCCTCGCTGAGCCACGTTCCTGCCACAGGAGGCAGAGAAAACCTCCTTTTTAAAGATGGTCTTGCAGGGAGAAGCCTAGGTCTCTGGGGTGTCCTTGAACTTCAGTGCAGATGCCACATTGCTAGACCTCCAGCAGTCCATGGGCTACTCAAGCTTATAATTGCATATGTTGGATGTGGTTTTCCTGTCCCCTATGACTAGAATTTCAGCAAGACCAGGGCTGGGCCCGTTTGCTGTTCCCATACCTGACATAGAGCAGAAGGACCACTATCTTATTACCCAGCCATAGAGAACCCTGCCCACGTGATTGCCATCCCATCCTTCCCCTCCCCTGCTCCCCAGCTCGACCTGTCGAATGACTGGTCATCCAGCTGCCTTGTCTATTCTGCAGGTGCAACCTGCCCCCCATCTCAGAGAAGTACATGGTGGATGTGGGGGTGAAGACAGACGTGGTCACCGTGAACCCCAGCATCATCACTGAGAGGTCAGTGGCCCTCTTTCTAGAACTGTGCTGTCCAATATGGTGCTGTCCACCATGCAGCTGCTGGGCACGGACGTGTGGCCAGTGCAGACTGAGATGTGCCAGCGATACCTGTAAAACACACAGCAGGTGTCAAAGACTCAATACAAAGAAACAATGTAACATATCTCATTAATTTTCATATTAGTTACATCTTGAAATAATAGTATTTTCAATATAGTAGATGAAATAAAATATAAAAATTAACATCTCTTATTTCTTTCTAATTTTTAAAAGGTGCTTACTAGAGCATTTAACATTACATACATAGCCTGCATTATTTCTCTTGGGCAGCGCTGGTCTAGACCCCTGCAGCTAGAGCGGGGTGGGAGAGCTTCCCAGCGTGTGACGGGGCAGGCAGCTCCCTCCCGGGCCGTGTGGCTTCCGGGAGAAGCTCGTGCAAAGATCTCAACAGCCCAGCTGGCTCCCCTCCTGGGGTCTGTCTGGGAGGTTTGAGGGGGGGTGCTGAGACCCCAACCCCGGGCATAGTCACACCATCTAGGTCAGAGGAAGGGCGAGAGGAGGGGATTGTGGGAGATGAGGGGAAACACCTCTTTAAGGTGCCGGGCAAAGGCAGCAGGGTTGGCAGAGTGACCACGTAAAGGAGTGCTCAGGGCGGGGAGAAAGTGCCCAAGAGGGAAGGTGGCTTCATACGGAGAAACTGCTACAAGACAGGAAGGGGCTGAGCTGGATTAGGCAGTGGCCTTTGGGGCCAACACTGGGATCTTGGGGAAGACAGTACAGGTGGCTGATCTGAGGCCTCTAGGTCAAGCCTCCACTCCCTCAACTAGCCCACCCTGGGCCACCCTCATCCTTTTGGGTTCAGCATTGCCTTCACCTCTGCAGCCACCCACTTGATATCTGTCCCTTTGGGTCCCGATTGCCCTCTCTTGCACCCACCGATAAAAACACAACTGTCCCTGAGAAAGATGATGCCTTTATCTGCTCCAGTGTGTGAGGTGCAAATAGGCAGGGTGGCCTTAGGAGTCCCCTCCGTCCTTTGCAAAGGCCCAGGGCGCAGGGGTGGGGAAGCGAGGGGCGTGGGAGCACCGGGTGGGGGTGGGGTGGGCGCTGACCCTGTCGCTCTGGCGCCCCCTGTGCAGGTTCCACAAGCTGGAGAAGTGGCGGCGGCCCTTCTACCGTGTGCTGCAGGTGTACGAGAACGCGTCCGTGCTGCTGCCCGCCTTCTACAACACGCGCAACACCGACGTGTCCATCCGCGTCAAGTACGTGCTGGACGACTTCGAGTCGCCGCAGGCCGTCTACTACTTCCACCCGCAGTACTTGGTCAATGTGTCGCGCTACTGGCTCAGCCTGGGCGTGCGCGCCAAGCGCATCAGCACCGGCCTCATCCTGGCCACCGCGGCGCTCGAGCTCTGCGAGGAGGTGCACCTGTTCGGCTTCTGGGCCTTCCCCATGAACCCGTCGGGCCTCTACATCACCCACCACTACTACGACAACGTCAAGCCACGCCCCGGCTTCCACGCCATGCCCTCCGAGATCTTCACCTTCCTGCACCTGCACAGCCGGGGCATCCTCCGCGTGCACACGGGCACCTGCAGCTGCTGCTGACGCCCGCCAGGCTGCTGGGCAAACTGGATGCCCCTAGCCGGGCGGTGTGGGGACCTGGCGTTACCCCCGTCACCCTTCAGTAGTTCAGCTTTGTGCTTGGGTCTCGGGGTAGGGAGGCAGGGACAGGGGCCCAGGCAGAGGCAACTCTGTGCTCAGCCTCCCAGACCTGGCCTCCGCCCTGTGCCTCCACCTGCCCAGAGCTAGCATGCTGCGGGGCCACAGGATCGGGGCGCTGGGGGTTGCAAGTAGATAAAGCACATTTCCACCCAATTTTGTCATCGGAGAGAGCACAAACTGTAGGCCCTCGATGCAGCTAAAGGAAGCCCTCCAGAGAATGGAACAGAGGGAGGACACAGGACATGCGACAGGACACTTGAGCACAATCAGGATTTCATTCAGACTTTTGGGGTCCTGAGTTTTATATCAAGGACTTAGCTACGAATTGCTATCTAGAACCTCAGAGCTTAGAGGCCAACCCTGTGGCCAGACTTTCCAGTGAAGAAGGAAGGTCTCAGAGGTCCAGGAACTGAACAGACAAGCCACACCACCTGACATCTGTCAAGTGACACTGAGAGATCCAACGCAAGGCTTGTGTTAGGATCTCTTCTGAGGACCCCCACAGCCTTTCAGACACATCCTCAGACACTCACACACAGTCTTGGTGCCTCCAGGTTCAACCCTGCGTTTGATCTTTCGATGAGAAGGAAATAAACTAGACCAGCCATTTGCACTACGGTTTCCAAGCCAGTGTTATCGACTTGATAAGTGCTTAGCAATTTGCTTCCTCGTCTGTCTATTTTCAGCTCCATTTAAACCAGGAGTTATTTATAAAGATCTGTTCCTCTTATGTCCCTGAATACTGCGGAATCCTGCTGTATCGTGTTCCTCAGTTGGAACCATGAGGCTCTGGGCTGGAAAATGCTGCCTGTCACGCGGTGAGCTTAGTGAATGGAAGCAAGTCGTGACCTTCAACACCAGCATCACTGAGGTTTCTGCTGGGAAGGGAGGATTTCCCACGGTGCACGCCCGGGGCCTTCGTACACAAGGATCCCCAGGGCCTGAGCTTGGGGAAGTCAGCTGGCCCTAGGCTGAGAGAGGCTCACAAGTCATTTCACATCTGAAATTCATTCCCTTTGCTTCCCCCTATGGTGTTTCTGCCATTAGTACGATGGTCACCATTGCTGAATTGCCTTAGGGCTTAGCTTGGTAGAATCATAAATGTTAGCGCTGGGAGGACTTCAGCCCACCTGCCTGGCCTCTTCTCTCCTTCCTTCCCTCCCTCCCTTTTTTCTGCTCTCCCTTATTCCCTCCCTCTCTTAAACATTTCTGAAAAGCCTCTTCTTTGGTCTGTGGGTTGGGCTTGGGAAGATACGATGACAAAGAAAGGCATTACCTCTGTCTTCTGGGGTGGAGGGCAGACCCAGGCCCACGTGCTGGGTGCTCTGAGGATTAGGAGCAGGGAGAACATAGCAGGGGGCAGAACCTTCCTTTGGGTCACCTCAGTTTACAGGCAAAGCCACGAGCGCAGTGGTGCCGGGCAGAGGAGAGCGCAGGCTCTGTCCCAGGCCTCCAGGCTTCTGGTCCAGGGCTGCTTTCTTGGCCAGACCTCTTTGTCTTGCTTGTGTTTCCTATTGGTGGGCTGTTGTGGAGCTCGTGCACCCTGCACAGCATTGTTCTAGATGCTGACTCTCACCTGCACCCTGCTCTAGTCTTTACTGAGAAAACCTCAGGCTGCTCTGAGCCTCAGTCTGCTGATCTGTAATGTAAGAGAGTAGCCAAGAAGACAAAGTGGGCCCAAACACGTGGTCATCTGGGAAAGACGACACCAGGACAGTGGGTGGTTGTTGCTTTCTTGAGCTCTGCCTGTTTCTCCCAAGGAAAGAACTTCTGGGAAAGATTCCAGTTCACTGAGATTTCCAGCCACTGTTCGTGGTTAATTGCGCCCAGTTCTCGAAACCACAGAATGTCAAAACTGAGAGCCGGTTAAAGACCATTGTGTCCCACTTAAGGAACCAGGCCCAGAACAGGGATGTGACCTGGGTTGAGTCATGCCTGGGGCTCTACCGGGTGCCTGCTCTGGACAGAACTCTCTACTGGAAGTGCTCTGGGTAATATTTATGTTCCAGATGGGGCAGGAGGCTCCGTAGGTCAGACAGCAAGTTTCCCATAGCCGAGGGGGTTGAGTGGAATCGGCTCCAGCCAGGGCCCTCCCAGGAGCTGGGCATGGAGTACCGGGATCTGTCCCATGTCAGGTCTGGGACACCTGGCTTGTGGCCGTATTTCTGCCTGTGGGTCTTAGGGCAATTCCCTCCTCTCCCTCAGGGTCTCAGTGTCCTCATGTCTACAGCTAGAAGCTTAGTAAAGACTCTAGGGTCTCTGCAACCTCCATTTGTTTTCGGAGATGTTCATGATGTATGGATCTAAGCCATAAGTAACATTTATTATTATAATAACCAGGATTTACCATGCTCCCGTTCTGTGCCAGGCCCTTCATTACCTCCTGTAACGGTCACGAGACCGCCGTAGGTAAGGAGGCTCCCGCTGTACTGGGGAGGAGGCTCAGGCTCAGAGCAAACCAGGGACTTGCCCGTGCTCAGGCACCCAGTGGAGGGAGCTGCACCTGGGCCTGTAGAAGCCCAAAGCCTGCGCTCCACACTTCCGTCTTGGCTTCCTACCCAGTGCCACCAAGGCTGGAGCAATAGGGTTCCTGACCACAATGCTACCGCAGGGTCATGCTGGGCCCTGCTCTAGCGACAAATGCTCTGGAGGCTGTCATGGGTCCGGGAGGCAGTCTCTGCTTGTAAGTGCCTCCCCCCAGCCCTGCCCCTGCAGCAGTGCCGACATGCCCACAGTGACACTGGAGGGGAACTGGAGGCCATTTCCATGTTTTTCAGGAGAAGAGAGATGCCCAGACACAGGGTACATGTTAAGTGACAACATGAGTGACTTACCCAGTGCCATATGGCCAGCTAGTGGCTCAGCTGGGACTCACCCAGTCTCCTGGCTTTTGGGACTATGGTTTTTCTCCTGCAGCCAGTATTTATAGGAAAACATTTCTTCAAAGGCCCAGAGAGACCTGGCATTGGTGCTGGAAGCCCTCTGCCATGTTCCCTCACATCCCTGTTGCCACCCCACCGGGAAGTGCAGACGACCTGTGAAATTATTGTCTAAGGGAAATTGATTCCCCACAAACAAAACAACCATCATGTCTTTGTTTGTGCTAAGCCCACTGCTCCAGGCTTGAACGGCAGCAGGAACAAGCGAATGACTCCGTGCTTAGCCAAGCAAAAAAAAAAAAAAAAAAAAGGTGGCTCAAGGTCAGATGCAGCCTCTGAGGCCATTTCACAATGCTGGGCGGCAGCTCTGCCCACTAATCACCTGGTGCCAGAGACAGCCCAGCGCTCACCGCCCTTGACTGCTCGCGTGGGGAGGATGCAGAGCAGCTCCCAACACTGGGGGGGAGCAGAGTGTTGGCTTCAGCCCGTCACTCCCAACTTATGGAGTCAATTGGTGAATATGTTATATTTATTGAGTGCCCATTTGGTGCCAGGCCCTGTGCTAGGTTCCAGGGAATTGCTTTTTATTTTTTTTTTAAGATTAGAGTAACAGGAAAAAGACATAAAGTTGAGCAAGAAGTCACAGAATGGTCTCTGTCCCATTGAGTGACAGTTGCCACTGGTACAATCCCAGGGCAATGATGAAATCAAGGGTTTTCTCTCAGCACCAGCTACCAAATCCTAGAGGGAATTGTGATGAGCAAAATGTAGTCCCTGCCCTCCTAGAGGTCTGGTGTGTGGGCAGACGTTAAGTGAGGAATCCCACAACACACAGGAGCCGGCTGTGCTGAGTGCTGTGGGGTCCGGGCTCAGGGACAGGTATGGCGGGGGCAGGGCATGGCCGAAGTTAATCCTGAAATCTGAAGGTTGGCAGCGTAAAGAGCGTAACTGGCAGAGCCGTGGGTACTTCTCAGGTCTCATCCTTGACATCGGTGTGAAATTTGCCAGGATTGCCTCTGGTCTTTTTAAAGGCCTCACATCCTTTGTTCCCTAACAAGCCATCTTCCCTCACTTTCCTTGTGTCTCTCTGAATGCTGCTTCTCAGGCTCCTTTGTTGATTCATGTTCCTCGAAGCTTCCTCAGGGTTCTCTGCTCTCACTAGGAGCATTCCTGCAGAAATCTCATCTGTTCACAGCCTTAAGTCTCTCCTGTCCTGGCACCTAAACCCCTTACCTGCAAGCCAGTTCTTCCTAGGGGCATCAGAAGCATGGATGCCTGTATCATCTGCACGGCACCCCAAACCCCAACGTGTCCTAAACTGGTCTCGTATAAAGAATGATCTGGGCTCAGAGTCTCCTCCCACTACTTAGTAGCTATGTGACCTTGGGCGAGCTCTCAAAGCCCCTGGAGGCTCTGATTCATCATCTGAAATGAGGACAGGACACCAACCTCACCAGCTGTTGCAAGGGCTAAATGAAATAGTGTTGCATGATGTGTCGCAAGCACCCAGCGCAAACTAGACACTCAGCGCAGGGGGTCTCGGCCCCAAACCTGGGTCACCCTTGCCTCTTCCTTTTCCTTCACTTTTTAGGCCTATTTGTTCACCAAATCTTAACAATTCCAACTCATAAAACTTCCCTTGATTCATTCCCTTTCTGTGTCCCCTCTGCCAATGCCCTAACCCAGGCCCTTCTGATTGCTTTCTCTGCGTTCAGAGAATTACACACTGAAAACACCGTCGTGGCGCCCATAGCCCGCCTGTACCATAAAGCTCATATTCTTTACCAAGTCATGCAGGGCATGTCCCAGGCTGGCTCACTTACCTTCCCAGAGACCCTCCTGCCACCTCCCTGTGCCTGCATACTATTTCAGGCACTGTGCCTTTGCACAAGCTGATTGACAGGGCTGGAGTGGCCCCACACTCCTCTTGGCCTCCCTCCTGCCTCCTATCTGGCCACATTTTGCAGGTAATGTCAGCTCATGGCCTCTGCATCCTCCCCTCTGGGAACCTGGGCTGGGCAGTCTTTCCTCTGTGCTTACGCTGTGACTTTCACTGACTTCCGTTAGGACATCCTCACAGCACACAGCAGCAGTGCCCCGTGTCCTTGGTGGATGGTCCGTCTTTTGCTCCAGGGAAGGACGACACAGTGTCCAGCCCATCTTTGTGCACCCAGGGCCTGACACAGAACTGAACGTGGTGGTGGCCGCTCAGCGTATTTGCTACGGTAACAAGGTCTCTGGCTGTTCAGGAGACCCTGTTAATAAACTGAGTAACACTTCAGGGAAATTGTCAACCCAAGAGAATCCCTAATTGATTTTTTTTTTTTTGTCTAACAGTACATTCTAGGCCGGCAAAGACTCCCCCTGCCTTCCCTGGGGAGCTTGTCTGCGTCGTGGTGCCACGTTAGTTCCATCACCCAGTCTCTGTCATCCTCTTTCTGTTTTCCCTCATTATCATCTTCTTGCTCATCTGCTTTTTGCTGCCTAACCGATCCTCTTTCTCTAGTTTAAACAAAAGAAGGGAAAGGTTTTCTGTTTGTCTTCTTTTCCGCTTCCTCCCTTCCTCAAAACCATCCCGATATGTCAGGATCTTGTATTGCGGTCGCTGCGGTGCAGGCTGGGTAGCAATATGCAAGGGATTTATCAACAGTGTCTCAAAAACTAGAGGAAAATGCTTTCCTTTTTGGCTGGGATGCAGACGAGCTGAGCTTTGCAGAATGTCTGCTCCAGATGCCCGGTGGAAGGCAGGAGCTTGGGGTTTTTTCCTTCTCAGGGGGAGGTGACGGTGCCGTTTTTTAGTTCAACACACACCCTTGCCTGGTGTCCCTACAGCAGGAGCACCCCTCTGGGAGGAGGCCAGGCTGCGGAGAGGGTGATTACACCCTAAGAAAGCAGTGTGTTCTTCAAAGGGCAGCCTGCAGAGCACGTGCATCAAAGTCACCTGGGTTTGGCCTCAGAACCTGGGGGGAGGAGGGGTCATGGTTCCTGGGAGTCATCATGTGTGAGGTCCCCAGATCGTCCCCAAGGGGACAGCTGCCTGCGCTTCAGCCTTTGCCGCCAGTTGAGCGGCAATGTCTGGCTTGAAATTCAGACCGGAGTCTTGAGTGGGAAAAGAATGGAAACAGGAATTTGGCATACAACCCAACTTCTGTGCTGTCTATAAATATAAAATAGAACCCACTATTAAACTGGCAACAAGAATCCAACGCTCAGGAATCCGTAACATTTACAAAATCTGTTTTGTTCTAGCACTCACAAAGATTTCTCTCTTTTTAAATTTTTAATTATGCTAGATTATACATAACATAAAACTTACCATCGTAACCACCTTTAGGTGTACAGTTCAGGAGTATTAAGTACATTCCTCTTGTTGTGCATACAGTCTCTGGAACTGTTTTCATCTTGCAAAACAAAAACTTTAAACCTATTGAATGACAATTTCTTATTTCTCCCTTTCCCAGCCTCTGGCAACCACCGTTCTGCTTTCTGTCTCTAGGTCCCGCACAGAAGTGGATCCATACAATATTTGTCTTTTTGTGACTGGCTCATTTCACGTAGCATAATGCACCGCTCAGGTACAAGCTGCTTTCAAATGGCATTAACAGTGTTCAGCATCCCTATAGCAGAATTCTGATTTTCGTTTTTGCCTTGAGCAGTTGTTCGGGGCCCTCAGTGGGTCCCTGACTTCTGGAGATCTTGGCTCTTTGGCGAGGGTGAGGGCAGGCCTGGCCTTGCTTTGCCAGCTGGGCTTAGCTGTCCTAGCCAGCCATGTTCTGAGAGACAGTGGCCTTGCCAATCTTGTATAAGTCTTTAGATATTTCCCCCTTTCACAGTCTCTTCTGTGAAACGTTTATTTTTCATTTCAAAGAAAAAAAATATACACTACCATGACTTAGCTCTTGGCCACAAAAGCCAGAAATTAGTGACTCTCTTTAGTTGGAGATGGTTCCCTTGGCAACAAAGTCTCTCATTTCCTTCAACTAAAAGATCTGCTCTGCTTTGGGGTAAACGTTTTATTTCTTCTAGAATTGTAGTTCTCAACCCTGTGTGTTCATTAGGATCACCTGGAGGTCTTTGTAAACTAATCCCAAGCAAGGTCCCCACCTTCCCAGAAAATAGGCTTCAGCTGGCCTGGGCGTAGGGCCCAGTGTCCTTATTTTAAAAGGTCATCTTAAGTGGTTCTGTCACACCGTAGCTGGGAGCCATCACCCTGAGGCAGACAGTCTGTGCCTTGGCTGCACAAGGGAGCCATACTCATGGGACCCCCACCCCTAGGCATTAAGTCAGCTGGTCTGAGATGTGGCCTGGGTTATCAGGTTTTTCAAACTCTCCAGAAGTTTCTAATATGCAGCCGAGGTTGAGATGTACCATCCTGGGTCTTCAGCTCTCAAATTTGAGCCTGCGTCAGGATCACTTGGAGAGCTCCTTAGTTATGGGCCCTACCCCAGGGTTTCTGATTTGGTAAGGGATGGGGCAGAGCCTCTTTTAACAAGTTCCCAGGTGCTGCTGCTGCTGGGCCAGGGTCTGCACTTTGAGGTCACTACTCTAGATGGCCTTTTAACTAGACTTGCCCACCGCATTCTGCTTCCTGATTGGGGGGTTGGTGGACCCCTCCCTCCTCCAATCTGCTTCAAGCCTGAGACTTCTTAAAGATACCAGCTTTTCTTTTTCTGAACGTTTTAAACATTTAAATAAACATTATGAAATATTTTTAAAGCAAAGTCATGTAGATTTCTTCTCCCAGGGTTAGGAGGTTCAGAAGATTCCTGAATTAAGAATTTATCTGTGCCTAGGACTAGGATGCATTTTGTGATCTGAGCTAAGGGGTTGGTATCTCTGGAGTTTGGGACCAGCCTGTGCCAGGGGAGTGTCACTCTGTGACTTGTGATGGAGTGGGACCTGAGTGCCGCACCGACACCCTCTAGCACAGGAAGACCAACCTGGCCCAGCTGCGTGAAAGCCTGGCCTTCTGACACAGCTGCAGCACTCTGCCCACCCACCACACCTGTGCACACGAAACACAGAAGGTGACATTGAGGAAGCATCCCCCAGCAAGAGGGGCTGCCGTGACCCCAAGGGGTAGGGTTCACGCCCACTTTATCATGCTCTTTCTTTTCTGCGGCCCTTGGGAAAAGGCTTGAGTTGAAACCAGCTAGTTAGGACCTGGTATCTGCCTCGATCTCTTCTCCCTCCTCCAAGTGGCTCCCAGCAGGGAGGTCCCTAGCGAGAACCTCAATCCCCTGGCACCTCAGAATTCCACATTCAGCCACAAAGTTGACAAGAACCCTTGAAGATCTTGAAGACTTATTAAAGGAGCAAATGGTTACTACTTCATTGAATCAAGGTGAAAACACACCTTACTTCTCAGGAACGAAGCCAGCAAGTTCACACGGCCCCCAGGTACCTGAAACTCAGGTGAAAGAAAATTAATTAGTTTTGAGCCCCTGAAATAGATGCTCTAAAGCTGTGTAAGAAAGGTCAAACACTTCACTAACAGCAAATACCTCGTGGCATTGACTTTCATTTTAAATTAAGTTCTAGTGAACTTGACTTTGGTTTCTAATAATAAAGCAAAGCAAGAGACTGATAACAGGTGCCAGATAGAGCAAGAAGTGGCAACTAATAGCCTAATCATGCTAGTATTAAGAAGACCAAAACTATAATATATGTCTCAGAAGCCTGAGGTCGTTGTAGGGTGGGATGGGGCAAATATGTCATAGTAACCCCGAGGGCAACAAGGCCTTTCAGCTCAGATCACCCTGTGACATCCGCAGTGTGCAGGGGTACAGGAATGTTAAATGTTTGATAGACTACCTGTAGGAAGGCGGGGAAGCATATTATCCACTTTAGAATTAGTTCCATTCCCAAACACTTAAAACCCACTCACAAAAGTCTTGGTGCTTAAGAGATAAACCCTCGGTTATGTTGACATTTGTGGAAGTGAAGTGGTTCATCAACGGATGGTGCAGGATGGACGAGATGGGCAAACTCACTGTTTTGTACTTAATGTTTTCTCTCTGACATTGGCAACGCTCTCCTGCTGCCTGTCTCCTAAGAATAAAGGACAGTGTGTGTGTTGGGGGTGACAAGCCCCTTCCCCCTTCCCACCTCAAAGGGGCCTCACAGCATGGCTGATGGTGTGGCCAGGACACCCTCCTTCTCATCTGATTCTGTCCTTGTGCACGGGAGGGGTTGGGACCATGGCTGGGGCTGGGCTGGCTCTATAAGGACTCAGGCCTGGGTTTATCTGTGAATTTAAGAATATGACCCCCCCCCCACAGGTGAATGTTTCTACTTTCTAAACACCATCACCATCCATTTTCTCATGGGACTTTGCTGTGTCCCTGTGAGGAGGACAGGGCAGATAGCAGCCACGCTCCTTGACTGAGGCCCAGAAAGATGGCAGTAGTGTGTCCCAGGTCCCCAGCTAAGGATGGGTGGTGGAGGGCCCATGTTGGGGCCCAAACTTCCCCCAGGCAGAGGGGCTGGAGGGCGGGGCAGTGGCAGTGTCCCTCTCTTGCCACCCGAGGCACTTTCTTCTCCCCTCTGAGGTTGTCGGGCTGGTGTGGCATCTGCTGCAGGCCTGGGCTTGACCTTGGCCTCACGCCCTGCCCAGCATCTGTGTGGAGGGGCCTGGCTGGTTTTCATTTTGCTTTGGGGCCAAACCCAGCAGCCTTGGGCGGGAGGCCAAGTGGGGCAGGAGGGGAGGCCGTGGGACTTGGCAGAGTCATGCAAGGCCACAGGCCTGAGCAAAGCAGGAGTGGGGGGTGGGGTTAACCCTGCTGCTATGGCCATTTGGGAGGTGGCTGGTGGGGTCCCCCCCAAGTGGCAGCCCTGCTAGTGCCCCTGGAGTCCAGTCTCCTATACCCGTCCCCAGTGGGACACTTGGCCCTCCCAGTGACTGGCTCAGCAAGTCCCTGTGCTCCAGATTGCCCTGAGGGGCAGCCGGTCCCCCGGGGCCTCCCACACGCTGCACCCATGATGTCGGTGTGCGGCAGGGGCTGGGCGGCCTGCAGATTCCCGTTCTGGACCGGGCCAGCCTCCCTTCAGGGAGCTGTAACTTTTCTTCAGTGCTGAGTTGCCTGAACTGTGAAACTCGTGTATGTGTCTATGTATTTTCTAAAGATTACCACTTTGTCTCAGCAAGCATGCAATAGATTGTTCAATGGTACGGTTTGGAGTCAGTCCCATGCCACCTCCCACCCAAAATACCACCAGGACAGACACTGGTGTCAGCAGAGGAGCTGTGGACACCTCTTGTCCTGGAGCCAGGTGCACACTGCCTGCTCTGGAGTGTAGCTTCAGCCCAGGTGTGACATCAGATTCCCGGAGCAGGGGTCCTGCTCAGGGGCTCACATGAAGGCAGACACAAGAGACTGTCCCTGAGGGATTGGTGGCACTGACTCACCCCTGGGCGGCCTCCAGCATGTGAAGACAAAGTACCGCCACGTACGTGGCCTCTGTCGTTCCTCCCTTGTACTCTCTGCAGGAGCTGAGTCCGCCGTGCAGAACACCCCGCAGAGCCTTTCCACGGGAGGAGAAAGGGAGGCCCACGACGTCCTTTGCTGGGACCTGTCTGAAAGGCCCCTCCTTGCTCTGCTGATTAACTCCCTCCCCTGCCCGGGACAGAAAGGCTGTGCCATTCTGAGAGTTCAGGGAGGTAGGGCTGCAGCCCTGGTCTTGTCCTGATGCAAATTTTGTTCTGGGAGCAGTGAGTGGTTCATACCAACTCCTGCAGCATAATTCCAGCTTGTGTGTGGCTGTCCTTGAGCAGCGATTCTGAAGTGACGTCTGTGACGCTATGCCTGAAAACATAATCAGGGTACTTTGTATCTGTCACTGTGTTTGAAAGGCCCTCAATTTCTATCTAATAAAGCCAGCTGAATGGTTCATCTAGCAAAGACTCTTTGGCCATGGCTGTGTGTGCGCGCACCTGTATGTGTTTGGGGAAGGGGCTAGACTGGGCAGACAGTAGCACAGCCCAGCATGGGGAGGTTGCCAGGTATTTTGAAGACCCCACCCTGGGCACACCTGTGGGCAGTGTCAGGGACACAGGAGAATCAGGAAGCCTGTTGGCGTGTGGCAGAAGTAGTCACCTAACTCAAGGAGTAGGTGGGCTCACAGGAAGGGCTCGGAGCCCAGATCAAGATGGAGTGGAACTGAGCTGGTGTACAAGGGCGCGTGAGGACGTGGAGAGGGGACCCTGGGGCTTAGCGGAAGGAGGGAGTGTCGCTGAGGGCCGCAGCTGCCTGCCGCAGGTGGGGTTGAGATGCGATCATAATTGGAAACAGACTCCACGGCTGAGCAGACCTGCCCCTCTCTAAGCACAGCTTCTCATCAAGGTCCAGAGTCACATTGCAGGCATTTGAGCACTAATTATCCTCTTACAGAAAACAAAAATAAAAACTTCTTTCAGTGCCAATCCTCTTGAGTATATTTAAAACAGTATTATATCAAAAATTTTTTGAATTCATGTGCAAACTGTCTGTCTGGGGCCTGTCTGTCCCATGAGATGTAGCCACATTGCTTAGAGTCCCAAAACTGCATCTTGAGAAAGTCCAAAGCCTTCCCCAGGATTTCTGCAAGCTCCCAGGGTCTCGTGTCATTATGGACCCTCTGCCCTCAGATTCCTGCTTTGGGGCATGTTTCTGTTCTATATCTGTTGCCCAGTCAGGTATTAGATGCAGCCCTTTTCTTGATGTCTGAGATCATGTAATGTGTTCCTGAGTGTGGTGGGAGGGAATGGGAAAGGGATGGAAACTACTTCCAAACAAACAACTGCAAACAGAGACAGCCCACCCACTGGCCAAGCTCTAAAGTGACCCTGGCCTCACCAAACTCCCTGGCCCTTCTCTTCTACATCTTCCCTCTTGGCTCCCCTCTTCTAGTCTCCCGGACTTCCTCTCAATGGCAAAACACACTTCTGCCATTTTCTCTTTGCAGCTTTTTGTCATTCTCTGCACGTTTGCTCTCCCACTGAGCCTGGGTCTCAGCTCCCCTTCCACCTACTACCTTCCAAAGATGTTTTCTCAAAGAAAGACCATTTTCTCTCTAAGATGAATTTTGGTGACAGTTGTAAGATGCTTAAATGCTTCATTATATAATTGTAAAATGTCAACTACTCAAGCAAACAATGATGGTGTCAAAGAATACTATCTGAGGGTCATCCTGGGCATTGACTTCTACTATAATATATCATAGCAAGAAAAAGAGCTGTCAATCAGGGAAGTGGGACTTCAATAAATATTTTTGAGTGAATGAATGGATGTATGAATGAGCTGGAGGACCACAGGTGATTATAGTTTATTTATTTATTTATTTAATAAATATTTATCAAATGCATGCTATTAGTCACTTCATTCATTTATTCAACACGTATTTTTTGAGCATCTGCTTTGGGCCAAGCTACTTGAGGATTTGAAAATACAGGAATGAGGAAATGCACATGCAGTTGCTGTACTCACGAAGCATAGAGTCTGGCCAGAGAGATACAAGTAATCAAAAGAGGAAAAAAAAAAAAAACAAACAAACCCAGAACACTTTCACAGCTAAATGTTTAATTATAAACCTGCTAGAAAGGAGCATACAAGTGCTGCACTGGGTCTAGCACCAAGGAGAGCTCCCCTGCAGAGGGAGGGTTAGCCGAGTGGACTGTTGGGGGAGGAATTCCAGGCTGAAACCATAATGCCAGGCCCTGTTTAGGGAGAGAGCTGGGGACCGTCACAGAAGGCCTGTGTGGCTCCGTCCTGAAACCTGGTGGGAAAAAAAGCTAGAGGGCTGGACAGAGGTGGTCTGTAACCGATGTTCATTTTTTTTTTTATTTTCACATCCTTATTTATTTATTTCAGATCCTTTTTCTTTTTTTCCTTATTTCAGATCATTTTCTATGTGTGCATATGCACATACATGCACACACAGGCATGTTTTATCAAACTGAAATCACAAGGTTAGCGCTTGTTCTCTAACCTACTGGTTCTCTAACCAGGATCCAAAATGGAATCATGCCTTGTTGTATCCTTCAAGTCTCTTTGAATGCAGCAGAGCTCCCTGAACCCCTCACCTTTTCCTATTTTTATTTTTTATGTATTTACTTATTTCATTTTTAATGATACTGCCTTGTTCAAGGAACCATGCCAATCGTTCTGCAGAACATTCACCTTTCTAGATTTGCCTGGATGTGTCCTCACACTTTCTCCAGCTGCTCTCTCCCCTGTGAGCTGGACAGTGGTTCTAAAGGCTTGATGGATTCAAGTAAAGCCTTTGAATTTCCCTGCTAAGTTGTGTGGAGAACTTCACACTGCATCCCACGAGGAGACTGGGAGATTGACTTACTGTAATGGCAGTCTGATCTCTTTGTTACAAACTTCTGCTGGACCTAGAAAGTAGTCTGTGAAAGCATGGGCTTTTGAAAACAAAATAACTACCATAATTTAATAATCTAGCTCAGTGATTAAGAAAAGTGCCATGATATGGACAGCCCCCTGTGTTTCAACAGACTTTCTACTTTCTCTCTGTGATCCCAATGTCTGTAACTACTTCATACTCATGATGAAAAACAAACGCCATTCATCATGGAGCACTTGATACTGCGTTCCTACGCATAGCCGTCCAATTCTTACTTTGTATTAAATACAACAAATAATTTTCCTGAATCTGTAGATACTCCTTTTGATACTTCTAGTGCTTTGTCAGTTTGTGTAGCATTTGAAAGTTAACAAAGTTTCCTGGTAGAATCAGGAGGTAATCAAGAAACAAATAGGACACAAACGAGAAGCTATAGGTATATATATATTCAAGCTTTTAAGTGAATATTAGATGCAGGGACTGTAAAACAGAACTATAATAAAAACATTTGAAAGAAGAGATGTGTCCTTTTTAACTTTGTTTTTGAGATGGAAAACTTAATGCAAAATTTGGGCCTCATTACAGAAATTGAAACAAGCTCATGCAAATTAATCTCCATTGCACCCGTCAAAAGGAAATTAAAAGCACTAATATTGCATGTAGTGTACACACAATAACATTTCCTAAATAGATTCTGGGTCTAAAACTGGAAATGATATGCAATGCTTTCCATTCCTCAGGCTACAGTATCATAGGATTCAATTTTGAATTTGATAATAGAGGCATTTTGGAGGAACAATGGCCCTCAGAGGAAATGAAGGAAGAAGAAAACAGCCAGATTATTGAAACAGGCAAGTGAGATGGCCAGATTAGATGTTCACTTGTGGGCTTCCTTTCTTTTTGGACAGAAATTAATTGAGCATGTAATTATGTCCGTTTCAGGGACACACCATCTCTTAATGTTTAAATTGAGAATTATAGCTCAAGAAAGCTGTTTTGAAATGCAAAAGGAGCCAGGTGAGGTGGTTCATGCAGGTATTCCTAGCATTTTGAAAGGCTGAAGCAGAGGATTGCTTGAGGTGAGGAGTTTGAGACCAGTATGAACAACAGTGAGACTCCCAACTACAAAAAAATAGAAAAATAGTCCAGATTTGGTGGTATATTCCTGTGGTCCCTGCTACTCAGGAGGCTGAGGCTGGAGGATCCCTTGAGTCCAGGAGCATGAGGTTGCAGTGAGCTAGGATGATGCCACTGAACTCTAGCCAGCGCAGCAAAGCGAGACTCTATATCAAAATAAAACAAAACAAGCTTTATTAGTCTTTTTAACAAAAGGCTGAGGTCATGTTTAAGAGGGCTGGATCTCCTCCAAGATTTAAAAAGAAAAAAAAGAAAACAAATGCATGTCCAGGATTTTATTTATTAACTTAAATACAATCTATTCATAGAGATAAGATTAATTAAACTACATCTTTATTTACAAAAAGACTAGTTAACAATAAAAGTGTAATTGATCTCAAAATCCTCAGTGAGACAGAGGCTTCACATCTTCACGTTTACTCTCAAGTGTCCTCCAAGCAGGGAGGCAGGGGCTGTGCCTCCCCGGGGTCACAGCTGCAACCCTTGCAGACTGCAGGGGTCAGAGTACAAGATTTCCACAAAGCAAAAGACGCTGGTCTCCTTTGGCAGTTTCATCCTCCCCGGGCATCTACCTTGGATTCCTCCTCGAAGACCCCAAATTCCACTTCCAAGGCAAGTCCTCAACTTATCATCGGGAGAATCTCTTCTTGAAATCACGAATGCTCTTCGCCATCAGCGGGGCCATTTTCTTCGGACCCGGTTTCCCGGTGGCCGCCCCGGGCGCCAGGCCAGCCCTGCTGCCGCCCACGCAGCCCGAGGCCGGGTTCCGGTTCTCAGGGCTGGGGTGACAGCCGCTGCTGGCGCTGCTGAGGGGAGCCTGGCTGCTTCCCGTGGGCGGGGGAGCTGCCCCGGCCTTGGCATTCGCGGCTCAGCTGCTCCTGCGCTGCCAAACCTCTCCTGGCCCCAAGAAAAACCCTGACGCCTCTGGGGCACAGAGTTGAAAACATCATCTTTGCTTGTGGCCTGTGGACTTACCGTCCGGCAGACCGGATATTCATAGTCACTGTGCCAGCGCTGCTCTCGGGCATCCTGAAGACGCAGGTACATCTCCCGCCAGGACTCGCGCTCCTGCGGCCTCTCTTCCTTGAAGTCTCGGTGACAGTGAATTTTCCATAAGTCGTCCGTTTCTCCAACCAGGGCGGGATTGTACCGCTCTATGCGACACAGCTGAGCGGCGTACAGACCTCCAAGACCCGCCCCAGGACAGAATAGGGACCCTCCCACTTCACGGAGGATCCGCGTATTCCTAAAACTTGGACGCCAGGCTCCTGCAGCCACCATCCCGGGGAACGTCCTCCCTGGCACCAGATACACCTGCATCTAGATTCACTCTGAGTCCCATAATGCATCTGCATCTTCCCCTGCGCGGACTGCGCCCCTGGCTCTGGCTGGGAGGACAGCCCTTCAGGGGCGCCGAGTGCGCGGTAAAGGTCCTCCAGCGTGGGCGGCGGCAGCGGCTCTGCCGGCTCTGGCCACTCCTCGGTGGGGGCCGCCCCCAGCGTGGCTGGATGGGCTCCAGTCGCCTGCCACTTCTCAGACTGTCTCTCCCGTCACCTTCGGAGATTTCTGAAGCGAGTCGGAGTTTTTAGCAGTGCATGTGGAGTCCCTGTTTGCAAGTTCCTTTTGTCCACGTGCAGCCGCTGAGTTTTCACGGTCTTCTTCCTTTTCTTCGGAATCTGGTCATAGTTGAGGTACTGCTCAAAGGTCAGAGTAGGCTGCTCGAATTCAGCACCCACATCTGCCTCTTCCACTTCACGGAGGGAGCCACCGTTTCTTTAGGCCACAAGGAGTTTTGAGTTTACCTTCTGGAGTCCCCAGGTTGGCTGGAAACTTCTCTTTGACCTTGGGCGACGGGGCTCCTGCCCGCTTTCCTGCGTCTAGGCTGTGCAGACGTGGCTTGCGTTTGTCCCCCGCGGGTTTCTCCAGGCCTGCGTGCGGACGCGTTCCAAGGCGGCTGTGTGTGG